GGCCTTAAAAACCTATTTTGGCCAAAACTTGCCCTTTTAAAGATAGGGGGCTTTAACCCCCAAAAATCCCCAAGCCAGCCATTCTGGGAGTTGAAGTCCACTCATCTTAAAGTGGCCAGGTTTGGACAACACTGTCATATACTGTACATACACTATGTTCCCCTTCTGGCCCTTCTGATTTATTTGCTTTAAGGTCTTTTATAATTTCACTAATTCCATTTTTCAAACTTTGCATTCCATATTTTCCCAATAGTGCAGAACAATCAGCAGCCATTCTTTTAAATACAAGTTTTAATAAACCATGAAAGTGAAAAAAGAGATAGATTGAAGCTTGGAATAGGACTAGCTATTTGCTGGATCAAGATTTCAGGGATTGAGTAAGACCTGTCAGTCAGTTTCCCCAAGCTTGTTTTAAGAAATATAAAAATGTTCTGTGTGTGTGTATGTGTGGGTTTTTATATGTGAGCATGAGGATTAGAAAACTTTATTTTGATTTTAAAAAATGTTAAACATTCAGTGTTTAAATTTCAGTGTAGCCTTATTAATTGTCCCCTTTCCTTCCTCCTCCTACAGCTGAGTATTTTGCAAGTCTACTCAGAAGTAAAACTCTTTATTTTCAGGTAAGTGGCTATAGATATAGTTTTAACTTCTCCTTTTGGGATTATACAAGAACAGACTTTTTTTTCAAAATTAAAGGAAAACTTTGAGAGCTGAAGAAATGTCAAAGCACAGGACCTCTGGTGCGTAACATCATCACTTAGGAATGAAGTGATTGGGCAATTTTTAAGAAAAAGTGGTATCTATTGATTTTTTTTTTTTTATCAAATAAGAGTTTGTGCATCCTGCACAAATATACAGACATTAATTTGAATGGACCAGATGCAACAAAAAGAAGGAAGAAATTATTCAAAATAATAGATTAAAATTTGAAATTGATGCAGAGGCATTTAATACAGAGGTTGTTATGTTATTATAATGGGCAGTCCCTTTAATATGGCTTGTCATAGATGCATCTCCTACAGAGTTTTGAGGTGGAAAGGATATGAGGAAATTTCTGCTGAATTAGTTTTTTATTCCTCTGAAGAATCTGGAAAGAAAGAATATGATAATTGAATGTAACTCAATGAATGACTTCTTAGTAATTTAAAAAAAATGTTAACTATGTATAACCTAATCAAGATACAATTAACTATACATTTTCATTTCATTGTTGCTTCCAATACTGAAAATAAAATACTGTAGTTATCAATATAAGTGTTGTTATTTATAGTTACAACAACACAGAACTTTGCTGAACTCAGTTTTTTGGAAGAGTCCAGTTTTTCATCTCTTCTGCTCCAAAAAGTCACAAGAGGACTGCAGTTTTGAATTTCACAAATAGTTATTAGACCAATTAGAAGCTCCATTCTTTGTACCTATTGTCTCTCCATTGAATTTTTTTCAATGAAGAATTACCAAAACATATTTATTCACATTTTATGGGAAGAGGGTATCACAGTTGTGTCATCTGTCACTGTCAGGCACAAATACATGGCAATAGCAAAGCCCCAGGAATAATTCTCTGTGATTAATGGTGTGTGCGCATGCGTGCTCCATGTTGCCCCAATACTAGTACTGTACAATCATTTGGACTGTACAGATGTTTATGAAAATGCAAAAGAAAGCCAAGCAAAAAAATGTCTATTAAGGAATCCTTATGATCCCAGTGTCTATCTACCTGTCTGTCTATTTATAGCTCACTTGATTTTTTACTCCTTAGTTCTCTTCCTAGTTTTAATTTTAATCATATTGTCAGATCATCATCAGTTTTGCAACATCCTGAATTTTCCATGACATTACTCTGTATTTTTTAACTTCATTTTTTCCCCCATTGCTATTTTGAGACTTGTTAATGTTAAGACATTTAGCACTAGCATCATCTTCCACACCTACTTTCAGGGCTAAGAAAAGTGTTAATGTATATCAGAAAATATGTTGTTTCTTTTTGTAATCATCCTATACAGAGCCCTGCTGAAATATTACAGGGGAGAACCATCAATACTGGATAGAATCTGCATTATTTACACTTGTCATTTTTCTAGTACTAAAAGCACTGAAATCAATCTGGTATTTTCACTGTTGGCAGTCATATTCAATTCCATGGTTTCATCTGCAACCACCCAAACGAGGAAAGTTGAAAAAGGACTCACTTTAAAGATTCAAGCTTCAACCAGACATGATATGCTTGACGAAAGCTGAAAAAAGGAAAAATAGGAATTTAGAGGTTGTACCAGGTAGTACCAGATCTCTAGATTATCAGAAGGGATTATTTTACATAAAAATATTCTGCAGGTTTAGTCAAATGTAAGTCCCATTAGAGTCAGCGTAGAGCCTTCAAAATTCAGTTCACATAGTCTAGGTCATTAAGTATAATAAAAAATAAAAAAAGGATTTGAAAGGCAGTTTCAGATGGTCTGAGTGAACTTTAACAGTTTTAGAAAATGTATTTTTTTCTTCCATTAACTCAACATAAATTGATAATTTATATATTTATATAAATATATAAATATATTTGTGTGTGTTTGTGTGTGTGTAATATCCTTCCTTCCTTCCTTCCTTCCTTCCTTCCTTCCTTCCTTCCTTCCTTCCTTCCTGGCATTTTGTAAAACTGTTAAAATAACATTATTCCACTGTGCTTTAAACCAGGATTGAATATTTGTTTTTGTTCTATATTTCTTGTTGTGTTGCAGATTAAATCTGCAGATTGGGCTAGATTACAATAATTGTGATGAAACTTTGTAGATAGCTCTCTCTCCCCCACCCCGTTTGTGGTCTTCAGTTTCACCATTTGCAGATGGAAAACACATAAAAACTACAGTATAAGTGTTAAAATAGGCACATCAAAATTTTAAAAGCAAAGAAAGTTTTCCAAATTCCTCCCAAATTAAGCCTTGCCCACATATAAAGTAGCAACTTCTACTTTATAGCCATCAACCTCTGTTCCCCCCATCCCCAGTCTGCCATTGATCACCAAAATGATGCCAACCCCTGCTGTAAGGATAGTGCAGGTGAGTAGGTGAAAACGTCTTCTTGATCCTAAATATAAGAATTGCTTTCTATAGGGATTTAAATGGAATTCAAATTCTCATGCCACTCCAATAGTACCACTAGTTGGGGTAGTCCTTTATGTCCCAAACAGAGAGCAGCTGGATGGGGTGGAAAGCCAACTCAATCATATTCATGGAGAGCTATGTGATTGCAATACCAATCTTTATTCTAGCAGTAACTTCAGCAGCATTTCAATATTATTTTCAGTTGCATTTATTCAGGGAGTGGCTTAACTGCTATTCCTGCCTGCTTTGTACTCATACTTCTGAGAAGTAAAATAGGAGTGGAAACTTTCCATGTTAGGAAACTTTGGCAACAGCTCCAGCAGCAAACAGCAAGTGTAAAAAGTATCCTGAGTTAACAGATGAATTTTTTTAAAAAATGGGTTTTATCAACTTACCTTCATAGTTGATGCAGCCATTAGCATCTTCTTGTCCAGCCATTAATTGTTCAACTTCACTTTCTGTCATCTTCTCCCCTATAAGTAGAAATCAAATGAGTTTAATTTTGTTTCAGAACTTATCTCTGAAGGCAGGAGGTACTAAGAACAACGACATACAATCTAGTTAAATATTAAATCTGATAATTAATATTAAATAAAATCTAGTTCTGTCTTTCGTAATCTGGCAGTCTCCAGATCTATTGGGACTGTAATTCATAGAATGTCTAGCCAGCATGGACAAAAGAATTCTGGAGGGCACCAGGTCAGGGACAACTGATATAGACAGATCATTAGGAGAGCAGAAGCCACCTGTTATACAATTGCATCCTGTAGTAAGTAGCTCCTGATGCAGTTGTATTTGAAGAAAACATCCCAGAAGTGTCTGTAGCCACAAATGAATTGCATTTGCCACATGAGAGAATGAATTCTTGCAGGAAATGGATGTCTGCTTGTTTTAAATATGGATGGGAGTGGTGGCAGAGATGAAAGAAGTTAGAAAAGCAAGGGAATACAGAAATGCCTTCTGGCTCCATATGGGCTGCTACACTTCCACAATCGTGAACAGTTCAGAGGCTGAGGCCCAAGAAGTAAGTTTACTGTGAGATTTCTAAGGGCAGGATTTTCTCCTTTAGTATATTACTGTATTGGTATGCTTTGGTCCCTTTCATGCTTGGGCCCTGTTGTAGGCACTGGTCTTGTACAATCAGCTGAAACAAAACTAAAATGGCAGCTCCAGAAACCACAACATATTATTACTACAAAGATGTCCCCAGCACCTGAGTAAGCATCACAAAAATAGCCCACTTTAAATTCTAATCTGCTGTCTGAACTAATCATAGCAGTGTGTTATATAGTGCATATATGCTAAAGTATGTATGAACATATGGATGATTTGGAAGACAGCAGATATTTGGCTATATGCTAATTATTCTGGAAGGTCAAATCTTGCCAAAACATAATTCTTGTCACAAATTCTATAGATGCTCTGCTTCCTTTAACATGCTACTGACTAAATTCCTTCCTGTACCTAAAGTAGCAAGGACATGACGCAGTTCAGCTCCCATGACAGTGCCATTTCCTTCCTTGTCAAAGACACGCAGTCCTTCCACAAAATCCTCAAAAGTCCCTTGGTCCTTGGATCGGGCAATGTGCTGTAACATTGGGAGGAAGGTCTCAAAATCCAGCATCTTTGTGTTCATTTCTGACAAGGAAGAACATGTTAATGATGACAAATAACAATAGTAATGATTCTGATATGCAACGGACAATCCCAATAATCCTCAAGTATGTAACTGGTGGCACCTGAAGAAGTATCGAGTTCTCTCTCTCTCTCTCTCTCTCTCTCTCTCTCTCACACACACACACACACACACACACACACACACACCCCTTTTCCGTGTGTTCAGTTCAAAGGAAGTTTCCCTATTTCATCAATATAGCTTCTTGTGACACCTAGACCTGGAAACCAATTCAAGCAAATACTCTCTAGAGATCTGAACTTGGAAAGGATATATTACAGCTATGTCATAGGCTCAGAGGAATTAAGCTTGGCAATTGCTTCTAGATCAGTTACATCATGCAGATGTATAGTTTTAAGGTACACAGGAAATTTCTAGAATAGGAAATGAAAAGGCCTGAGTCTATCCTGTAGATACTTACCTTCTGGCTTTGGTTTCCCTAGCACTTTTAAGACCTCTGCATTGGTTGGGTTCTGTCCCAGGGCTCGCATGACATCTCCACACTGACTGTATGTGATTTTCATCTCTCCAGTTGGGGTCCTGTCAAAGAGCATGAATGCTTCTTTGAACTCTGTGCAAAAAACAGAATCACATTAGCTCTTTACATCAGCAGAAAGTGCTGTAGAGATCCTTCCCAACCAAGATGTGGAAGGAGTTCAAAGAACAGAAATGGAGGCTTATTTTTATCTATATGTGGGAGTTTTTGAGAGGTTATATTTATATGACCTGTCAAAAGAAAGCATAACAGCTAGAATATTATAATTTGTGTCTTTACCATGTGAGAAATTGTAGGGCAGACAGTGATTTGGGCTGCTGTCCTATGGACACATACTTGGAAGTTCAACATTTCAAAAGTCTTAGATAATAAAGAAAGGGGAGGGAAACAAACACTTAAAAATAAATATTTTAACATAAAAATTAATAATGTTCTTCAAATATTTGAAAGGTTGTAATATAGAAGACGTGCCAGGCATGTTCTTTGTTGCAACAGAGGGTAGAAATTACAGGAAAATAACTTTTAGTTGAACTTTAAAAGAGAATTCCTAATACTAAAAACTGCTTGCCTAATACAGCCTGCTTGCCTCTGAAGAGACATTTAAGCAGAAACAGCAAGCCAGTGCGTTCTTCATTGTAGAACTTATGCTGAGTAGATCAGAATGATGATTTCCAAGAATTTTTCTATTTCTGTACTATTGTGCTATTATTTCATTTAAAGGAATCATATTTATTGGCTTTTTGGTTATTAAATCATGTTAAATCTATTTCTACTTAGATAATTCCAAAATAAACTAGCCTATGTTTTGAATCTACTGTTTTATTTAAAATTACAGGAGGCTCGTATTCTTTTGTGTGGCCATCTGAAAAGAAAAGAAAAGAAAAGAAGCAACTGAACTGAAATCTAATTAACAGCACATTCAATATGGATTCAGAAGTACACTCCATTGAATTTAGTGGGGATGATGAACTTAAGTCCCACCAATTTCAAAGGGCATACTCAGAGTATAAGTATCTGGATCTTAATCAGTGGCATTAGAGAAGGCATTAGAGGTTCCTTCCTCCTAAAACATTCAGTTTTAGTTGCAGCCCAGTATCTCACCTTCAGGGATGGATATTTCTGGAAAAATCAGAATTGTTTTATTTTTGTATGAGATAGTTTTCAGCTTCTCAACTTGTTGCATTATCCTCTCTTTATCCTTTAATTCTGCAAGCTGAACAAGAACAGCCCTGCTGCACTGATCTGCATTTGAGTTCTCCCTTTTCCAAGGTAGTCGATAGGCTTTTTCCACCGCAATGGAAGGGCCTCCTAGTTTCAGAATATGTGACAACCATTTTTCTATGAAGGCTGCCAAGTTGTGGCCCTCTTCTTTCTCAGGCAAGCCATGGATCCTGAGAGTATGCAGTTTCTTCTGTTTCTTTATCTCTTTCATGTGGCAACTGAGGTGTTTGTTTTCTCCAACTAAACCATCCAAATCTTGTCCGCATGCTTGCACCTTTGCTTGCTCATGCTCAATTATACAGCCAGTTGCAGCAACTGACTGGGCCAGGCTGTGAATTTGCTCTTCCAGCATGTCCATCCGTGAATTCAAGGCTGAGATTTTTCCATTAAAGGCCTTCAGTGCCTCTGAAGCATGGTCTACTTTTTTCTGGATTTCCAACACCACTTTTTTCATGATTGTATCTCCACCGTTGAAAGATTGGAACAGTTCAGTGCTAGTGTGCAACTTCAGACAGGTAGAAGCCCAAGAGGCATTGTCTTAAACTCCACGGAAATCCTTGAGCCACAGTAATAGTGGGGTTGGCTTGTTATTAGCATTGCCACATGTGGGCAAGGTCATCAGTGACATCACAATGGCTAATAATATCCCAAAGGGCTTTTAAAGTGGGTTGAACTTCAGGTCTGAAGTTCAGGCCTGCCACCGCAGTTTTTCTGCCTTCCTCAAGCTGGTGTCTTTGAGACGTGCTTAACCAATAATTCCCATAATTTGTAGATGACAGAGTCATTGGCCTTGCTACCTGAAGTAAAATGTGAGTTATAATTCAACATATTGAAACCTTCTCTAGGTTGCAAAAGGCTGTGCCATAGCATGTCTCTTCCTCTGAAAAAAAGGGGGAATTGCTAGTGCTCAAAAATGGAGGTTGAAACTTCTCATAGAAATAGGTCTATAAATATTGTGACATTTCTGTATATAGATACCCATTCAATAACCATCAGGTGGTACCCAGCTTATGGGCAGAAGGTATTACATAGGGACTTTGCTTTGGTTCACACATCTCACTAAACTATAATGTGACTTTTGTGCAAAACAAGCTATTCTAATTTGTTTATAAAACCATAATTAAAATACTTGGTTAATATGGTGTGTGAATGCAGCCAATGTATTAGATCCAGATACCAACATAAAAACTTTATCATGAGTAACATAAGTCCTGCTGAATGTAATGGCTTTCATGGTTTTATAGTTTAGTGTACTTTGTGAACCCAACCAATGGTGATTTATTCAATAAAACTTGGGAAATAAATAATAGCATTCATATGAACAGGGTTTTTTTTAAAAACAACCATTACTTACCTTCAATCTGATCAGCATTGAATTCAATCTATGGGAGAGAAAGGGGAAGGAATAACTATTAATTATTTGCTATTCCCATGTTACTTTTACTGTCTGACTCAACTTGGGCCAACTTTATCTCTCAGTCATGTATATTAAGGCTGGCAATGAGTGTACTGTTGGAAGACCTGAAAGACCCAGTTAGGGACAGATCATCATGGAGAAAATCTATATGGTTGCTAAGTCAACACTGATGTGATAGCACATAATCAAAATTACTCAATTATTTGAATAAATGGAGGTGTCTACAGGCTTTGTAGTACATATACAAACAAGACTATATAATTGCATTCACTAACTGTTAAAATCTGGTCATGCTCTCTAGAGAGGAGAAGTCAATGAGTAGTAACTATACTTCTAGATTTTGGTGCATTTCTCAGGTTGGATTCTGTAGATAGATTCACACACAGTTTATATAGTTTGGACTTAACATATCATTCAAACCTAGTCAGCTGTGATTTATTTGATAAACCATACTTAAGCAAACTATGTCTTGGGATGATGTGTGAATTCGGGCGTATGTGTCAAGCTAAAATGAATTCACAGTTGCATGAAATTGGTACAGCATGAAAAGAGTGGATGTATAAATATCCTCATGTTAGACATTCCAGCCAAAACACGTCATCTTCAAATTTCTCATGAAAACCTACCCTTTCTTCCTTAGCTAGCTGAAGTCATCTCCTGTTGTTATCTGAACCATACCCCCTTCCCTCTGTCATCTCTCTCACTCTGAAACTTTGCTTGTAACATCTCTCAGGCAGCAGAGTTTATTTGCTGCTTTTATAAAGTACCACATGACGATGCTAAGCAAATAATCAGAAATGATTCCGTAGTGAGAAATATTCATCTAGTCATAAGGAGAGGCTAGAGTTTTTAAATTCTTCTAAGTTTTATTATAGCTGGGATATCATTACTAGGTTTCTAGTTGTTTTTCGTAATCTAGCCATCAAATCACACACACACACACCCCTGTACAGTACGTATGTCAGAGCTCACACCTTCCTTTAAGTGATAAGCCCCAGTCAGACATTCTTAAAGACTGAACACTTCCATTTAAGCTCCACTCCCGCCCCATGTCACTTAAATGGCACTGGCTTCATGTAGACATTAACACATTCAGCACAAATACCTGCAGGAGCTCTGTGGATAGTGCATAAAACTGTACAGACATTAGCTTGTCTAAAAGCCAATCCATGTACATTTTTTACATATGAAGGCCTTTTTTCCTGCTGACATGAAAGGACACCAGAATAAACTATAATGCGGTTGATTGGTTTGAGGTGAGATACCCCCCTCCAATTATAGGCAAACCAAGCTTATTTGGCTCGTTTAACAAAGCATTATTAAAAATATGCTGGAGTAGAACAAGGTATGAAGGAACATTATCTAAATATGGACTGTTTTATAGAAAATATTTTTAGAATTTTTGTAGAAGGCAAAATTTACCAAAAATGTGAGGTCTTGAACTCACAGCAAGCCCTAACCAGGCTAAGCTGAGGTACATAAGCAACAACTGGCTGAGTCCACACCATATTATAGCAAACAAACCACGCTGTGGCTTAGGGCAATGAGTGAGCCAAGCCAAGTTATTATGATTTACCAAGTTTATGTATCAGTATCTGTGATTGTGCTTATATACATAAGGCATCTTTCCATGGACAAGATTCAAACCATTTCCATTTTGTTCTGAAGCTATTAATAATTCAACTCCAAGAGCTATCTTACAAGAATGTGCCAATATCAAAGGAGAGGAATGGAAAGTTTTTTCCCTTGCCTGCATGATAACTAGAGGGACCAAGCTTTTCTGGGATTTGCTTTGAGTGGCCATGGAAAGCAAATGATAGCAAGAAACACATGATCTGTTGCATGCGTTATACAGTTCAACATCTGTCACTAGCTGTTATTTAGAGTAGCTTACTGAAACCTATGTATTAAGAGGAAGCGTACCTCCGAATACCAAATGCTATGGTCAAACAATGGCTAACAAGTTGACACCTTCCTCATAAGCTTTTTCCTGACATTTGATCATTGTTGGAAACAGGATCCAGGACTAGATGGACTCTTTTTCTGGATACTGCAGGGTAATATGCCTCTCCTTTTCTACGTTCAGTATTTTAATGCCAAATTGTAAGATTGAAAGGTGAAACATTGGCTTACTATGTAGTGTTTTAGACTAATGGTGCACCTGGGCAGGGTAGAGAAATGGGCTGAAAATAACAAAATTTTAAATTTTAAATTTAAATGTCATTTCATTTTTAAATGAAATTTAATAAGGACAAATGCAAAGTTCTTTACTTAGGAAACAGAAATCAATTGAACATGCGTAGGCTAGGGAATACCTGACTTGGTAACAGTACTGTGAAAAAGATCTTGGAATACTAATTAATTACAAACTGAATACGAATAACAAGTTAATGTGCTTAGAAAAAGGCAAATATAGTTTTAAGCTGTATCAACAGAAGTATAAATTCCAAATCCTCCTCTTAGTCTATGCTGATCAGCCCACTTGGTTGTGTTCAGTTTTGGGCAACATGTTTTAAGAAGGATTCAGAGAATGTGGAACAGATTCGGAGAAGGGCAAAGAGTATGACAAGAGGATTAGGAAAATCCTTCTATGAAGAAATATTGAAGGAACTAGGAAGGTTTAGTCTTGAAAAGAAAAGATAGAGGGGGAAAATGATAGAACTTAACAAATACCTGAACAAATGTCACACAGAAAAAGGGAAAGATTATTCTCTAGGATTGTAGAGTGGAGGCCACAGAATAAAGAGCAGTTTGATGGTGGAACCAATTCTCCAGAGGATAATAACCTCAATTTCTCTGGAAGTGTTCAAGCAGAGGCTAGGCAGCCATCTGCCTAAGTGGGCCCTTCCCGTTCTATAATTTTATGATTCTATGCAGCTTCAGTGACACATTTGGCTTCTGCTTACTGTACATTTGGTAGATATATTGACCTGGTTCATGCAACATGCTAAGCTGTAATGCAGCTTGTTTAGTTTGGGTTTAATATGTAAATCTAGTCCCTGGAATCTGTGCAAATCCAGCCAATTGTGGTTTATTTGCTAAACCATGATTAAACATACCATAGTATGATGTATGAACCTAGTTACTATGTTCAGCATTAACAGTAAGGCAAGTAGGACCAAATAGGACAAGTCCTCTCTTCTTTTGAAAAATAAAGAACTTCAAAAAAATCTGTGTCTTGCTATTTTTATCTTGTCTCATCTACTTTTCTTTAGCTAGGCTTACATATCAGCTGAAATTCTGAAAC